GGTAACAAGCTATAACTGTGAGTATATAACAGCTCTCAGTGAGTTCTGCAAGTCCTTCTGGCAAATTATCAAACCTAAGGGTGGTCTTGGGGCCCCCCAAACTTGTATTTGGTGTCATAAATTAGGGTGATCTTATGTGGACTGTGCCCCCTCACTTCACAGTTGGTTACTTTCACAATGTTATTAAATGTTTATTTACAATTATCTATATATTTACCACTTTCTTTGCTCTTTATAATGTCTTGCATATCAGACTTTCCATCTGATATCACTTTCTTTTGGCCTGTAGCAAATTCTTTAGAGTATCCTTTAGTAAGTTCTGCTGGTGACAATTTTTTCCTGTTTGTGTCTGAAAATGTCTTATTTTGTGTCATCTTTGAAATAGATTTTTGATGAGGTTTGTAGTTACTTTTACCAGCACATTGAAGATTTAATTCCACAGTCTTCTGGCTTCCACTGTGGCTGTTGAAAAAACTCAGCAGCCAAAGTGTCATTCCTTTGAAGGTAATCTATTTCCCCCACCTCAGCAATGTTCGATAAGTTTTCCTTGTTTCCTCAAGTTTCATTATTAATAATCTAGGTGTGTATTTCTTTTTCTTTATTTTTGTGTGGAGTTCATAGTCCTTCCTGAACTGGTAGGTTGGTTTTTGTCATCACTTCAGGACAACTATCATCAGCCTTTAATTTTTCAAATATTTCCTCTGCTACATTCTCTCTCTTCTCCTCTTCTGGGACTTTGATCAAACATATGGTAAACTTTCTCACTGTATTCTCTATTTCTCTCAACTTCACTACATGCTTCATTCTGGATATTTTCTTCTGACTCATCTTTTCACAAATTCTCTCTTTAGCTGTAACTCAGTTTATAGATCTATCTAGTTATTTTGTGTTTCAGTTCTAGAATTTCGAGTTGCTTCCTTTTCGTATATACTCTGTCCGTTCTTATAGTTTCCAGTTCTCTACCCAAATTTCCAGTTGTTTTTTATATCCTTGACCATAGTAAGCAGCATTATGTTAAAATCTATCTCCAATAATTCCACTACCTGGCGCTCTGGTGTGACTATTCTATTACCTGCCACTTCTCTTGGCTCTTGTTCCTGACATATTATCTCTTCATGTGTCTGATATCTGTGATTGTGTGTTAGGCATTGTTTTTGAAAAATTGTTTGTGGAAATAATTTGAGAATTTGAATGTTAGTATCTTATTCCAAGAGGATTTGCATTTGCTTCTATCAGGCACCTGGATCACTAGCAATCAGGATTTTCTTAATTTACTGTTAGGGATTAAGGTTTCCTGAGTCACACAGATGACTTGAAGCTGGGTTGCATCCTGGCAAGGGCTGGTGTAGATTTTTCAGAATCCCAACCCAAAGCAGGCCCTGGGCTCCAACTTCTGTCCTTTTAGTCTGTGTTGCTGTCAAAAGCATCAGTCAGCTTCTCAGTCTCTTTTCCACGAACAGTGGATGCTCCCAGAACAGGAGGCCCCAAACGCAGGACGTGATTCACTGGATTTTGTTTTTCTTCTCTATCTTCAACTGGTAATTCTTTATTACCTTCTTATTTCGTCAATGTCTTTTAATATTTTGTTCACCCTTTTCAGCTTTCCTCAGCAGGTGGCTGGCTGGTCCCAATTACCTGTTCCACTGTTATTAGAAGTGAAAGTCTCTGTTATGCAAATGTAAGAGATTATTATTGTTATAATTTCCTGACTACTGGTTTTGGGTTCCTTTGATGGGAAAAGTGCGCGCTAAACTCCCATTTACTTGGCATGATATAGAGATTACAGAAGAAATAAATTTTGTTAAGCCCAAATTGCTTTGATTCACCTTTGATTAAAACTGAAATCAGAGGCCACAATTTTTTTAGAGATAAATTTTACGGAGCTATTGATACAAATGCTTTTGATAATGTAAAACACTGGGTTATGAATTAGCCTTTGTTAGACAGTTGAGGAGAATTTTAAGTTATATGAATATATATTCTGAATTTTGTTAAAAATCTAAGTTTTTATCTGCTTATTAAAAAGGTACAAGGAGGGCTTCCCTGGTGGTGCAGCGGTTAAGAAACCGCCTGCCAATGCACGGGGCATGGGTTCGAGACCTGGCCCAGCAAGATCCCATATGCTGCGGAGCAACTAAGTCCATGCACCGCAACTACTGAAGCCGGGGCACCTAGAGCCCATGCTCTGCAACAAAAGAAGCCACAACAATGAGAAGCCCGCGCACTGCAATGAAGAGTAGCCCCCCGCTCACTGCAACTAGAGAAAGCCCGCGCACAGCAACAGACACAATACTGTCAAAAATAAAAACAAATAAATAAATTTTTTAAAAAAGTACAAGGAGCTTTCTTTTCCTATAATACCAAACAATTTGTTTGAATAGTTTCCTTGATGTTATGAATGTTTGATACAGAAAACTAACGTGTTCGAATATTTGTTGTGGAACACCATTCATTTGATTTGTAAATCGTATTTGTCGTAGGAGATTAATTTTATTCACTGGCTTTGTGATAATTAACTTGCTGATTTTACCTCACTGATTTGTTGTAATTAATACAACTGGTAGAAAAAGCCTGTGAGGATTTTCTTAAAATTAGGAACGTAATGAAAGAAATTCCTTCTGGTAAAAACTAATTTTGTTTCACAAAAATTATATTTGTTTTACGTGTAAATTAAAGTGGCTCTAACAAATTAACTTAGAAATGCAATGCAAAGTGTCAATTTGTCACAACTGGGTATTCAGGCTAATGGAATCTTCTTGCTTATTTTGATATCGTTGTTTTATTTTACCTCTATTCATATGTGGATCATCACATTCCAAAAGATTAAATGATAATTCTCTTAAAGCTTCCCTAAGCATATAAACACTTTAACAGGTGGTGATTCAGAAGGCGTCTGCACTGCTAAATTATCTCTCATCCCCTCATTCTTGCCCAATAAATAGACATCTCATGGTGGAACGTGGGATAAATGGGAATTAGCAGCGGGTGGAGGGAAAGACAGGAGCAAGTGGTACAAGCAAATGGCCTTGAAGTCAGACTGATGGTGATTGAAACCCCTGACTAAGCTTTGTGATCCTGGGTAAGTTACCCTGAGCCTCGGAGTCATCAACTGTAAATTGGGGGTAATGATGGTAGCCACCTCACAAGGGCTTTTGTGGGGGAGAAGGTGAAGGATTACCTAAGATTGTGGTTATAAATCACTCAGTCCCTTGAGAGCATGTGATAAGTACTGTATAAATAATGACGGCTATTATTAGCTGACTGGGATGCATTTAGCTGTCTCGGGAATAAAGGCAGCTGCAGAATTTCTGCTAGGAGGGTCTCCGGAACAGAGCTCACACTGGAAGGCGCGATAGGACCCTGCTTTTAAGTTGATTCTTTGCGTAGTTGAAGAAAAGAGGAAGGAGATTTAGAGGGACTGGAGTGCTTCCCCCACCCCGCACCCCTTGTGCGCTGCTCCCGTCCCGGAGATGTTCGGGGCTTGTCTTGCACTCCTCCGTCCCGTCCCATTCGTTCCAACCAATCAACCAGTCAACAAACACGAAACAGCCCTGACAAGGGGTTGTGGACTCTGGAGAGAGGGCGCCGCACTTCTAGCTTGAAGGGTAGCCGCCCTGCGCTCAGGTCCCCGCCAGATGCCCCTTACCCCTTACACCGACCCAGTGGGAACCCACCGAGACCCACCCCAGCCCCGCTCGCCCTGGACGTCAGCCTCATCTCCCTTTCCAAGGAGCAGGGGCAGCATCCGGGGTTTCACCGGCCACAGACCGCAGAGAGTGGTCCCCCTGAGCCAGGCTGGTGTCAGCGCACTGCTGACCCGGGGAAGCCGCTCGGACCCGCTGCAGCCTCCACCGTCAGACAGGGATCCATTCCCAGCACCTGCTCAGGTCGGGGTCACACTCGGGCATCCACAGCCGCGGCCAGTCTCCTGTTCCCGCACGGCCACTCTCCCCACCCAGGGCGAGGCTTGATCTTGGCACTGGAGCCGACTTTGAGGTCCAGGCTTCGCCTCCAGTTAGGACGTGACCTTGGGCAGGTTATGTTTGTGTGTCCGGTTTCCACCATACCATGATCACCCCCAAGGACCATCATCAATCTGGAGGGTTTGGCACCTGCGCTCAGAGAACTTTCAATACGCGTCAGCTGTGATTACCTTACTTGCCCCGAACCCAGACAAATCTATCAACCTGCTCTGATTGTATGGTGAAAAGACCCCGGGTTCTGGTTACAGTCCCAACTGCAGTCTCAACACAGACACGCTTAATAATCTGGGACCAGTTGCCCCTTCTCTCTGGACCTCTGCTGCTCCGTCCGTCACCTGATCAACGTCAGATTTGAAAAACCCATTTATTGATCTTACAGGCTCCTCCCCCGCAGGAGCGCCCAGCTACAGGGATTACGCAGTCCTGTGGGAGGGGCCCCACGGGTGGGAGGCTGGTCACTCTGCTTTAGGGGCGAGGGAGGTCAGAGGTTCATAGGAAAATGGCATTTGAACGAGGCTAGAAGGATGACCCACTGGACTCCGTCCGGTAAATAATGGCGAGGCTTTTATGTCGCTGCCCTTTCAGAGCTGAGCGTTCGCAGGGATCGCGTCCTGTAGTAGGCCCACTTTCCTCCTCCACGGCTGAGGTCGCGGGGACCGCGGAGGAGCACAGAGCAGGTGGTGCCCGGAGTCCGCATCCCAGGACCTGGCCCGCATCTCGAGGCCCGCTCCAGGGTCCGCTCGCTGGGACCGCGGGGGTGCGGCCGTTCTGGCCGCCAGTGCCCTGGCCACACTTGGCCGTGGCAGAGGCCCCGCTTCAGGGAGGATTGGCTCGGCTCGGGGAGCGCCCGCGCAGTTCCAGCCCGCGAGAGCCACGGGGTCCCGGACCGAGCGCAGGCTGCGCGCGCGCGTCACGTGGGCGGCGCGGGCGCGCCCCGCCGCGGGCGGGGCGCGGGGGCGGCGCGCGGCCTCCCGTGAAGCCCCGCGCGGGGAAGGACCGGAACTCCGGGCGGGCGGCTTGTTGTTAACATGGCGGCGGGAGCTACCGGCACGTCTCCAAGAGACGGCGGGGCCCACACCCGGAAGACGGGTCTCTTTTCGGCCTAGCGCGGCGGCCGCTGTGGACCCGGAAGTCCGGGCCGGTTGCTGAATGAGGGGAGCCGGGCCCTCTCCGCGCCAGTCCCCCCGCGCCCTCCGCCCCGACCCGGGCCCCGCCATGTCCTTCTTCCGGCGGAAAGGTAACGAGGGGCGCGGACGGGCGCGGGGCCGGGCCTGGGGCGGCGGGTGGTGGCGAGGCCGAGGCCTCGGCGCGGAAGGACGCTCTGTGCGCCGCGCCCGCGGTCTTGCGAGAGGGAGCGGGGCCTCCGCGCGGGCGGGCGGGCGCCCAGCCGGTTCCGAAGTGTGTGCCGGGACCCGCGCGGGGTGGTGCCTTTTGCGGACACACAGCTTTTCGGGGGCGGGGTGGTGCGTGTGTGTGCGTTTGTACCAGAAGAAGGGAATTCCTTCCGTAGTTTCTTTACGGAAGTCTCGGACTTGTCAGAATATTGAGGGGTTTATGTCAAGCAACACGTGAAAAAATTGTTTTCTTCAACTAGTGCTCTTTTCCAGTTTCCCCTTTTTTCGGGGGGTGGGGTGGGGGAGCGGGATTCTGCTGTTCCTGAAGTGACAGTGCTTAACTTATGGCTAAAAGTCTCCTAACGAAAACGACTCCTTCATTTGATGGGTTAGCAAGTTTACTGAGTCCTGGCACCCAAACTCCAGAAGCAAACTGCTTATATTTCTGATTTTCAGGAGTAGCTCCCCAGTTTTTGAGTAGAGGCAGCTTGATTTTGAGCCTGGGTAAGGTTGTTGGCGTTTCGTTACCTGTACGTATCCAGAGTGGACAAGTGTGGGCCTTCTGGGTTGATTAGTGGTTCTTGTATCGATTCTCGTTGCTTCCGGGAAAATTTACCAGACAAAAACGGGTTTTGGGGAAAGCACTAAACTAAATCAGGGACTTAGGTTCACGTGACAGCTCTGCTACTAACTCTGTCACCTGGGACAGAAAAATGTTAACCCTCTTTCCTCTCTCACCTGAGAATTCAATGATTCCTAAAGGCCCCATTCAACTCTATAAATTAAAGATTTCCTTTTAAGTACGCACAGAGTTTTAATAACTGATGCCTTGTGATGAGTGAATGAAACCATGATGAGTGAATGAAAAGCACTCTGAATGAATGAAAGTGGTAAAATGGTACAAGGAAGCTTTATTGGTAAGGTACCTTGGTATAGTTAATAGCTCTCTAATTTGTTTGAGTGTTGGAATGGTTAGTTGTAGTGTTTTTTTCGGGGGGGAGCATTCTGTGTATAATGAGGCAGATTGCATGTTGCACAATAGACTGTTGTCTCTATTCAACAAATACTTTTGAACGTCCACTGTTTGCCAGGCACTGTGCTAGGCGCTCAGTATTAAGCACTGAACAAGACAAAATCCTTATATCCATGGAGCTTGTTGTCTGCTGGGGTAGACGGACAATAAATCAATCTCTCTCTCTCTCTCTCTCTCACTCTCTCTCTCTCTCTCTCCCTCTCTCTGTCTCTCTCTCTGTCTCTCTCTGTCTCCCTCTCTCTGTCTCCCTCTCTCTGTCTCCCTCTCTCTGTTTACAAATTGAATACAGTGTTATAAAAGAACTTGAGAGAAGAAACATATTTCGGTTTGATGTTAGTCAAAGGCCTCAGCAGGTGACCTTGAAACTTAGAGCTGAAGGAACAGCAGGAGGTAACATACAGAGGCCAGGGAAGAGCATTCTAGGCACAGGGAATAACGTGTTCAGAGGCTGGGAGGTAAGAGTTTGGTGCCCTTCAAGAAAGAAAAGCCCACTGTGACTTGGGCTTAGAGAGGTAGACAAGGATCAAATGATTCAGAGCTTTGTAGGTCACGGTTAGGTGTTATTCCAAGTGCAGAAACAATATTACTTTTAAAATTTTAAAGAGGGGTGATTTGATCTCTTTTTATGTTTTAAAAAGATCATTCTAGATGCCTTTTGGAAACTGGATGTGGCAAGAATAGAAACTGGAGATGGTCTTATTTAGGGATCCCATCCAGTCTCTGAATACCATTTTTAAATACCACCTATCTGCTGATGACTCCCAAATTTACATCTCCAGCTTGGATTCTCTGCCCTGAATTCAGACTGTGTATCCAGCCATTGGTCCACTTTATACCTCTACCTAATAGATGTCTAATAGATAAATCTTTAGCCTACTGTATCTAAAATTTCCCCTTAGATTTAGTCCTCCTAAACTTGTACATCACTTTTTCTCATCTTAACAAATTACATTTCTGGCCTTTTAATTGCTCAGGCTAAAACTTTAATACCTTCCTGAACCTCTTTCTCTCCTACTGTATATCTGATCTGTTAGGTCTACCCCAGAATATACCCAAATCCAACCATTTCTCACCATCCCTGACCATTAGCGCCCTGATCTAGGGAGTCATCTCTATTTAGGTTGGGTGGTTAAGGAAGTCCTCTGAGGGATGTCATTCGGATCTCAGCTTAAATGTCAAGAGGAAGCCGGTTTTGTGAAGATCAAGGAAGCAGGATTATTTTACTATAGGCTTCAATTTGGTTTGCCTTCTTCCATTCTTGATGCCTCTGGTGTATTTTCGAAATGCATTCTGCCACACCTCTGTTCAGATTCCCTCAGTGGCTTTCTGTACATGGCCCTCCATAATCTAGGTCCCATTTCTTCTCTGTGTTCATCTCCTGCTTTCTTTCTCCATCATTCTTCCATTTATATTTGCCTCTTTGTTGTTAAGTACATTCCCACCTCAGGGCCTTTGCACTTATTCTCTCTGCCTGGAAACCTCTTCCCACAGATATGTGCCTATTTTGTCCCCCATCTTCTTCAGGTTTTTGATTAATTGACATCTTAGTGAAGCTTTCTCTGACTAGCTTGCTTAAGATTGTAGTCCCCAGGCCCTGCACTCCCATCCCGTCACCCTACTTTATTTTTTCTGTAGCATTTGTCACCATCTGCTGTACTATGTGTTTTATTAGGATGGAAGATGATTTCTGTTCATGGCTGTATCCCCATGTCTAGATTAGTGCCTGGGATATAGTTAGGAAGTTAGTAAATATTTGTTGAATAATTAAAGTAGGAAGTAATAAGTGCTGTGCAGGGAATTTAAACAGTGATGTGGGAACAGATCGCCAGATGACAATTTGTGTTTGGATAGTGAGGGAAGGCTTGTCTGAGCAGATGGTATTTAAATTGAGGTCTCGATGCGGAAGGAGAGCCAGCCTTGCAAAGGTAAAAGGAACTGCATTCTGGCTGGAGAGAACTGGTAATACCAACATCCTGAGGCAGGAAAGAGCAGGGTTTGTTCAAGGACAGAAAGAAGGCTGAAATGTGCTGGGAGTGGAGGGCAATGGGGCATGTTTTAGAGATAGAGATAGCATGACTTGAGTAGATGATTGGAGTGAAGGAAAACTGGGAAAGCTTTGGAAAGCTTAGAGCTTGAGGTAGGAGGAGTCCAGAGCTCTCTTCTGGCAGTTGTGAGTTTGCAGAAACTCTTGGACGTCCGTGTGGATATGTCAAGGAGGCAGTTGGATGTACAGGTCTGTAGTTCTGGGAGGGGATCAGAATTTGAGTGCTGAATCTGGACTTAGAAGTATTTTGCATAAATGATGGTTAAAGACACAGGCCTAAATGAGCTCATCTGTGGAGTACATATGGGATATGAATTAGTTGTGTTGAAAGGCTAAGGTACCGTGACAAAGAGACACTAAGTACAATGGCTCAAACAAGGTAGGCCTTTATCTCTATCTTGTGTAACTATCCAAGTCCCTGGTCATCAGGTGGCTTTGCTTCACGATCATTCAGGCATCGTTTTCCTCCCATTGTGTTATTCCTCTTTCTCTTAGGGTATAGTCTGTGTGATCAAAGCCAGATCTTAGTCCCTTCTGTCAGCTTTCTGACTCCTGATAAGGGGAAAGAGAAGCATTGGCCAGAAATGGCACACACCTCTTCTGTTCACACTTCATTGCTGAGGACCGAGTCATATGGTCACAGTTAATTAACTCAGGGGCTTCTGGGAGATGGAGAGAAGCTAGCCAGTTGTGTGCCAGGATACAACCCTCTTACTAGGAAGGCCAGGTAGAACCCTCTACAACCCTCTACAGCGGCCAGGTAGAATCTCCTGCCATGCTGTAGACAAGGAGAGAGCTCCGGGGTTAATCCAGCTTTTAGAAGTTGAGGAACATGAGTCATTGGCAAAGGAGAATCACAAGAAAACGCCAGTGATATAGGAGTACGATATAATGGAAGCTAAGAGAAGATAATATTTCAAAAAGGAGGGGTAAACGGGGAAGGGGCTGGAAGGGGCCATTGGGGTAAGGGTGGGGGGGTTGTTTTTTTAAGATAAAAGATGCTAAGCGCGTTTGTTCTAGGAAAGATCCGGTAGAGAGGGAGAAAATGATACCGAAGAGGTTACTTGCAAGAGTGAAGTTCTTGAGAAGACCTTAGGAGTTGGGATTAAAGCCTGGCTGTATCAAGATTTGATTAGGATACACTGCAGCTGGAGATGGCAATCGGCACAACCACTTGTTTAAAAACCTTCAAACAATGCTATAACCTGTTTATGAATACATAAATATATTAAAGGGTAAAAATGATGGAAACCATAAACATTCCATTTCTGAAATTTTTTTCTCTAGGAAGAGGGGGAATGAGTTGAGGGCGGGACTTTAGTTGTAACTGCAGTGTTTTATGTCTTTTAAAAATTCTTCTGAAGCAAATATGGCATAATGTTAAGATTTGCTAAACCTGAGTGTTCCTCATATTAAGGTCTAGTCTTGCCTTTGTTTTAAATGTTTCATAATAATAAGAAATTATTATTTCTTATAGAAGAAGTAGTGCAAAATAAGATGACAGAAATAAACCACTTTAAATATAAATAGAATAAAATCTCTATGGCTAAAAAATCTAACAAAAGTCTGTATAAAGATGGACTAAAAGATGAAGGCTCAAGTTGGGTAATAAGCCAAAATGCACCTATTTACCAGAGACACAACCAAAACATAAGGACGTAGAGAAATTGAAAATAAATGGATGCAAAGATATATCAGGCAAATGTTAACTAGAAGAAAGTTTGTGTGGTAGATGAAATACTTTAAAGCATAAAATACCATTAGGGCTAAGAAGGCCTGTAAATTATGATGAAGCGAAAAGGGTACTAGGAAGATAAAACTGTGAACTTATTTGTACCTAAATCAGTTTCAAAAGGTATAAAACAAAATGTACAGAATTACCAGGAGAAGTCAACAAATTCGTCGTCATAGTTAGAGTTTTAAGAATGTTCTTTTTAGAAATAAAGAGCAGTAATCACAATAAAAAGAAATGGGTTAACCCAGACGATAAAAAGATGGTGATCTTCAGATTGGTTTCCTGTACTGTTTAAATGTTAAAAAGGTCATGGGAAAGTTAAAAGTAAAAGGATGGAGAAACATATCAGGGATATACAAACAGAAGGAAAGCTAGCATAGTCTTCACAACAGCACACACATGAAAAAAAGATGGAAAAGTTAAGTTTTGTGAGGGAAAGGGAACAAGAGTCATTATTCACAGATAATATGATTGCATACATAGAATATTCAAGAAATTCTAGGCTTCCTTGGTGGCACAGTGGTTATGAACCCACCTGCCAGTGCAGGGGACACGGGTTCGAGCCCTGGTTCAGGAAGATCCCACATGCCGTGGAGCAACTAAGCCCATGCACCACAACTACTGAGCCTGCGCTCTAGAGCCCGTGAGCCACAACTACTGAGCCCACGTGCCACAACTACTGAAGCCTGCGCTCCTAGAGCCCGTTCTCTGCAACAAGAGAAGCCGCTGTAATGAGAAGCCCAGGCGCCACAACGAAGAGTAGCCCCCACTTGCCGCAACTAGAGAAAGCCTGTGCACGGCAACAAAGACCCAACGCAGCCAAAAATTAATTAATTAATTAATTATTTTATAAAAAAGAAAAAACATAAGAAAAGTAAAGTGGGCTGTGTCAGATCCCGTAAGTTTCTCACTTGGCTTGAGCTACCATGCCCTTTCCTTCCTGCATGTGATCTTGCTAGTGTGTCTGCATTAGAATTTCCAGTGTTTTGTGTAATAGAGGAGAAATGGTATAATTTTTTTAAAATTTATTTATTTTTGGCTGCGTTGGGTCTTCCTTGCTGCATGCGTGCTTTCTCTAGTTGCGGAGAGCGGGGGCTACTCTTTGTTGTGGTGTGTGGACTTCTCATCATGTTGGCTTCTCTTGTTGCGGAGCACGGGCTCTAGGCATGCGGGCATCCGTAGTTGTGGCTCGCGGGCTCTAGAGCACAGGCTCAGTAGTTGTGGCGCACGGGCTTCGTTGCTCTGTGGCCTGTGGGAACTTCCCAGACCAGGGCTTGAACCCTTGTCCCCTGCATTGACAAGCAGATTCTTAACCACTGCGCCACCAGGGAAGCCCGAAATGGTATAATTTTTTAAGAGACAGTTGTTAAGGCTTGAGTAGTAGAAGTTTTAGAATGTTTGTAAGTTTAGAATATTTGTATTTGATGCTGTGGCAGGGATACACAGGAAGTCAGAGATGTTACACAACCAGAGAACTCTGTCTTTTTCTTCAGATTGCATCTAGTAGTGAGTGGCACATGGTAATAATGTTAACTAGCGTCTTAAGTTTACTGTGTCCTAGCTCCTCTTGTAAGCCCTTTACAAGTACTTATGTTTTCATCCACAACCCTATTAGGTAGTCTCCACTGTGGCTGATGGAGAACCACACTGGGCAAGTACATGTTCGGTTTTGGTATGCTGGCTGGGAGATGCTTTTGAGATGTCCATTTACACATGTTATCTTAACCACGCAGTAATTCTACAGTCCGAGTTTTTAACCAGAGGTAAAAGAGTGATTTTTTTTAGGGTCTAGCAGACCAGGGTTGAAATCCTGCCTGTTGAAATGACTCTTTACTAACTCATAACAGTGACCTAGTTTTGTAAATGAAGGAAGTTGAGACCCAGAGAATTAAAGTAACTTGTCCAGCATCACATGGCTATTGAATGGCAGAGCCCAGATTTGAACCCAGGTGTTCTGACTTTGTCTCTCCTTAAGCTCTGAGCGTACTTGACCAAATGCTGTTCAAAGATCACTTCCTGAGAGAAGCTTCCCCTGACAACTGCCCTGCCCCGCTCCAGGGCAGCTCGCCCGATGTTGCGGAACTTTGAACACACTCACCTGTGTCAGAATAGAGCTGGTGTGATTTTTACAAGGTCTGGAAGGGGGTTTCTGGCTGTAGAAGTTGGTCATGGTGATCTCTTCTCTTCCAGTGAAAGGCAAAGAACAAGAGAAGACCTCAGATGTCAAGTCAGGTAAAGGTGAGTCAGCATGTTGCAGGGATGAACTCTTTCATCCTGTTACATTCTCCCTTATTTTGCCATTAATCGTCTCTGCCTTCTTTTATAATTACTTATGACTGTGACACATTTCCCTGTTAACTTATGTACTCTTCAACACCCACCATATAATAGACTTTTACTAAGCATTTATTGGTTGTCCTAGTGATTTCAGTGAACCAGTGTCGTCCTTACTAATCACACATTTGATTATTCCCCAAAAGCAATTAGTTGACTGTATTTAAAAAAAAAAAAGCAAAAAATACTCTTTACTGAGTAGTCTGACCACTGACTTATGAAGCCTGGTTTTCTGTGGTTTATCTGGAAGTATGGATGCTTACAGTTTTCACTTCCTTATTACTTTGGATGAATGGCCTTAACCTAAAGTTTATTTGGAGTCCTTTATTGGAGTCAATATATTGTCCTTATTTATAGGCAAGAGCATGTTTCTTTAAGATTGTAATCTCTGCGTAGTTTTGACTGATTTCATTATGTCAGTGTACAAAAATTGAAAAGGGAAAATTATAGCGAAAATTACTTTCATGACCATTACGTGCAAATTTCATAGGTGTAATTTATTTACGTGAATTCTAAAGATTGACACTTATTTAGATTTTTCTTTTAAATGTTTGTATGTTGTGTGGCTAGCATTGAGTAGTAACTCCATATGCTCCAGAGGGACACTAATCAATAACTTAGAGGTTTGTAAGATTAGGGAAGAAGCAGGGTAGCTTACAGCCTTATTTTCTGCTTATTTCTGATAATTTAAACCCAGTTGGTTCATATTGCCTTTTTTAAGGAGAATTTGATTGATATTGGTAAAGACTTCAAGCCCTCAGCAAGCAGAGGCTTGTGAAGTCTAACCTTGATTGCAGTAGCAGGAGGGACTTTGATGTCCGAGGCACACCAGCCTCCGACAGTGTGACCTGGGGGAACTTTCCTCATTTGTACAACAAGGGGATTGGCCTACCTAACTCCTCAATCTGTCCCAGGCTAAAACACTCCATGCTTGTACTCTATTTATGACAGTACATTGTCTGTGCTCACATTCACTGCCTTAACTTTATTATTATTTTTATTTATTTATTATTTTTTTTGCGGTACGCGGGCCTCTCACTGCTGTGGCCTCTCCTGTTGCGGAGCATAGGCTCCGGACGCACAGACTCAGTGGCCGTGGCTCACGGGCCCAGCCACTCCGCGGCATGTGGGATCTTCCCGGACCGAGGCACGAACCCGCGTCCCCTGCATCGGAAGGCGGACTCTCGACCACTGTGCCACCAGGGAAGGCCCACTGCCTTAACTTTAGAATAACACAGACGCAGCAGGGAAACAGGCCCTCAAGAAGTTTGCAGTCTGATTAGAAGGACAGACTCAGACCCAGAACAGTAGCAAATAAACCAAAATCATAATAACTATGGTTTATTGAGCACCTGTTCTGTTCTAGGTGTTAGACAAAAATTGTGGCTGTAACAGTGAACAAAAAAGACTTGGATCCAGATCCTGCCCTCGGTGAACTTACAAATTGGTGGTAGGAAGAGGAGCATGAATCAGATGATGCACAGATGGCTGGGCTCAGTCAGCAGTGGTGGAGATAAAGAGACCTGGACAGAGCCGTGTGGGAGGTGGAATAGGTAGAGCTTTGTTCTCGATTAGGTATGAGGGCGAGGAAGCTAAGCCTGGCACCCAGCTTTCTGGCAGGCCTAACACTGTGGCTGGTGGAGAACCACACTGGGCCAGTACCTGTTCCTTTTTGCTATGGTGGCTGGGAGGTGCCCTTGAGACGTCCATTTACACACGTTATCTTAAGCACAATAATTCTACAGTCCAAGTAACCAGATAAAAGAGTGATTTTCTATAGTCTAGCAGACCGAGGTTGAAATCTTGCCTGTTGAAATGCCTCTTTACTACCTTATTGACTTAGGGCAAAGCACTTAACTTTGTTCTGTTTGTGTATTCGTCTCCAAAATGAAGAAAATACTGGTCTTGTAGCATTATTGTGAGAGATAAATGAAATAATGTACCCCCAAAAAAGTACATCAAGAAACCAGTACAGGGCTTCCCTGGTGGCGCAGTGGTTAAGAACCCACCTGCCAATGCAGAGGACATGGGTTCGAGCCCTGGTCCGGGAAGATCCCACGTGCCGCGGAGCATCTAAGCCCGTGCGCCACAACTACTGAGCCTGCACTCTAGAGCCCGCGAGCTACAACTGCCGAGCCCATGTGCTGCAACTACTGAAGCCCGCACGCCTAGAGCCTGTGCTCCGCAACAAGGGAAGCCACCACAATGAGAAGCCTGCCTACTGCAACAAGAGTAGCCCCCTCTCTCCGCAACTAGAGGAAGCCCACGTGCAGCAACGAAGACCCAACGCAGCCAAAAATAAATAAATTTATTAAAAAAAGAAAGAAAGAAAGAAAAGAAACCAGTACAGTGCCTTGTACATAGTAGGTTTTATATTGGTAGCTATTACCATCTAGTTTTAACAGAGTAGGCCCTTGATATGTTGGATTAGTTGTTAGTTATTAGTATTACAGGGAGTTCAAAGGAATTTGAGATCAGCAGATGGTTTCTGGAGCATAGGGAAGCCTTTATAGAAATGAGACTTAATGTGTATGAAATTTGAATGATAAGAAGGATTTGAATGAAAGAGTCAATTCTTCCTCTTTCCCTTACCAGCCCAGCTTCTTATTTCTTTGAGGATATACTGGGCAGAAGGACCTTCAGACTACTAAAAGGAAATTTTTAAGATAGATTGAGGTCAGATTGTAGAGGGTCTTAAAGACCAGAAAAGAGTTGAGACAGAGAAAACAGGGAACCACTATGGGCTTTTGAGCAGGATGTTGATGCTTTACATATGGCATTTATAGAGGTTAGTCTGAAAGAGTCATGTAGGATGGAGACCCTAGAAGTGCTTTGCTGTGATACAAGAAGGCCTGTACTAAGGGTGTGGTGTTGAAAATAAACAGGTCAGTATCTTGAAGGAAAAGTCAACAGATCTTGACAAGCAAACAGGTATAGTGAGAAGAGTGGGTCCAAGCTCTTGAGCTTTAGGGACTGGTGGATTGACAGAGAGAGGGAAATGAGAGGAGAATTAGTCTGGAAGAAGATGTTTTAAGTTTGACGTTTGGAAAAATTGGTCTTGAGGTGGTAAAGATGACAAATGAGAGGTTGGTTAGAAGCAAATAATTAGAGCCACAGGCAGGAAGCTGAGCTCAGAGGTCAGCCTGAGATCGGGTCAGGGTCCCCTCTGCCTCCAGCTCTGCAGGGGTGAGCCCTTGGAGCTGGCGCTGGGAGGGCCCGAATCAAGCGCATGTGTGAGACTTTCCCCTTGAATCAGCCAGAGTTACAGTTAACTCTGTTTTGTCTATTTTAGATAACACTTTAGATTTTAGATATCTGTTTTAGCTAAAGTTTTATCTATTCTACAGACATATCAAGGTCCCACTTAAGTTTATTTGGGTGGGGGGAGCTTACAGCTAAAAAAAAGCTTGGAAAAGATTGCTCTAGTAATAACTGAAGGTTTGAGAATAAATGTGCCTTCCAGCAGAAGGAGTAAAAGAAGAACAGAGAACCTTGGGAAGCAGAGGAGCGGTGGATGCCTTGTCTGGCCCCGTGGGCGCTGATATGCGCATTAAAGAGAAGGAGAGGGAGGAGCTCTTGGGAGAGGAGAAGGGGGAAGAGTAAGGGACCACGAGGCCTGGGGGTGGGATGCTAAGAGGGTGAGTGTGAGAGAGGTGGCTCTAACAGAATTAAGAAAGAGAGAAGAAGGCTTGCACAGATGAGTTAGTATTATTTCACATCATCATACACGTCTAATTAGGAAACAATCAGAAAGTCTCACTGTTCTTGATGCAGGGTATTTGTAGCTTGTCTGTACAAAAAAACTAGATATTATTGTTTATAAACCTACCAAAATGATTCTGCTCCCTTCAATTTATCATCAAAATAAAAACAAAAAACAACTTCCTTCTAAAATTGAAAAAATCATTTGAAGACAACTCCATTGCATAATTCTCCCAGCTCTTATTGAATGACTGATAAATACATATGCCTAAGATAAACATTCTCATCTGCTTTATCCTGTAAACACATCTCACAGTAATAGATTGAATTACAGTACTATGTATTCTTCATAGGAGGTATTACGTGGTATCACTCAGATTCTGTGTCCGGGAACCGTTTGCTAAGATTGAGAGCACTTATCTGTTGACCAATTTATCATAAATTGACCGCTCAATAAAATAAGTGGTGCTAGTAGACAGAAGTTTAGTCATCTGAGAGTATTTATATTGAGGGTGTGGAATGCTCAGTGACCTGTATGTTTCTAGCCTTCTTGCTATATAGCAATGCACAAAACCAAAACTTCTTAAAAACCTTTCATGAGAGTCTTTGATATTTGTGTAGAATAAATGGGATAGGTGGAATGTTAATTCAGCTGTAGCAACAAGTTCATAGGGTTACTTTGACCGTATTATAATATGGAGTTGATGATTTCCTACTAACACATTGGTGACTAACCTCTTTATTCTGAAGTCAAAAGGATGATACTAATATTTCTTCAGGCTACTAAAGAAAATATATTATGTGAATTTTTAAGTATGCTTCATCTTTAGGCAGCTTGAACTTTGATCAGTTTTTATTAGACGGTGGAATTTTGTTACTCATTTAAAAAGTAAAATAAGTTTCCTGAAGAGTATTTTTCTAATTTTTTTCTCGTAAGCTTTTATTTTGGAATTTTAATTTTGTTCCTTCAGCAAGCAAGTATTAAGGAATTGAAAAGGGTCCATGTTTCAGAATGTTTGCTGCCTTTGGTACTTTCTGTCTTCAGTAGAGTTCTCAAAGAGAACTCAAAGAAAGATCTCTTTTTTTTTTTTTTTTTTGCGGTACTCAGACCTCTCACTTTTGCGGCCTCTCCCGTTGCGGAGCACAGGCTCCGGACGCGCAGGCTCAGCGGCCATGGCTCACAGGCCCAGCCGCTCCGCGGCATGTGGGATCTTCCCGGACCGGGGCACCGGGGCACAAACCCGCGTCCCCTGCATCGGCAGGCGGACTCTCAACCACTGCGCCACCAGGGAAGCCCGATCTCTCTTTTAAGTTACATTTTTGGCACAGTATTTTGAGAATTACAAATAATAGTAGGACATTTCTTTCCAATTTTCTGCTGCTTGGTTAATTTACCATTTCCCCAAGTATTTTTGTTGAGTGTATGTACTTAAGAGAGGTGTTACAAAATCTAATTTTTCAAGTTCCCTTAAAGCCCTCTTAGGAGACAGTTTTAGACTATCAAATTGTGTTTAATTTTTAACAATTTTTTGAAAAATTATAGCTTCAATATCCGTACATTCCCCACAAAAAAGCACTAAAAATCATGCCTTGCTGGAGGCTGCAGGACCAAGTCACGTTGCAATCAATGCCATTTCTGCCAACATGGACTCCTTTTCAAGTAGTAGGACGGCAACACTTAAGAAGCAGCCCAGCCACATGGAGGCCGCTCATTTTGGTGACCTGGGTAAGTGACTTTGAGTTTTTGTTAACTTCCTAGGAGGAGGAACTGAGTATAATATGTGAAATTCCTGCCAAAGGATACCGAACTGTGTAATTGGATGGGACTTTGAAAAAAATGTTTTAACTGAAGTAACAGCTATAAGTGTAATTAATGGATGACTCCATGTTGTGTTTCTATAAATATAAAAAGCAGGCCCAGTAGAAAAATGGGCCATTTCCAGAAAAAGAAATACATTTGGCCACTAAATATATGAAAAGGTTGCCTCACTGCAGTAATACTAGTGAAATGCAAATTAAAATAATGAGTTAATGTTCCCCCTAACACACTGGCAAATATTTAAAGTTTGATAATTGGGATGTTAATGTAGATGCAGAGAAATAGCCACTTCTGTATAGAGGAAGTATAAATTGGTAAAGATTTTTTGGAAGGCAGTTTGCAAGTATTTATCGAAAGTTAAAGTATAAGATGTAGCCCTCAGATATGCTCCCATATGTGCACAAAAATATATGTACAAGTATGTATGAGGCTATTCATTGCAGTAATGTTTACGATAGCAAAAAATTAGGAACAACATACAAATATCCATTAATAGAGAAGTAATCCAACTGTGATATGCCCATGCTCTGGAATACTGTGTAGCTATATGAAAGCCTTCAGAAGACATTGAGAAATGTCTAAGATATGTTAAAGTGAAAAAAGATGGTCACATAGTGGTATGTATAGTAGGATCTCTGTTATGTTAAAATAATTCCTCCCTCTCCCCGCAAAAAAAGAAAAGATATGCAGGAGATCCTTGTTTTCTGAATATTTGTTGCCCAAATTTCTGTACTTATAAAAATTGTATGTCAGTTTATCATAAATTGAAAAAAATCTATGAATGGATCGCCTTTACTAAAATTAGTCCCTCTTCTGATACCTCTCTCTGCTTAACATTTGTGTGTATTCAGAGCTGAGGTGTCAGTCTTTGTGGGTCACCCTCAGCAGTGCACTGCAAATGACATTTGTGTTGGTCACAAAGTAAAATTGTAAGTCACTGGATTACTCGTATGTCTGGTGGGAATGTAACATGGTAGAGCTGCTCTGGAAAACAGTTTGGCGGCTTCTTACAAAGCTAATCATGCAGTTACCATACGACCCAGCCATTGCAGTTTTAGGCATTTATCCCAGAGAAATGGAAACTTATGTCCACAAAAAACCTGTATACCAGTGTTCATAGCAGCTTAAAAGCCAAAAACTGGATGTCCTTCAACAGGTGAATGGTAAACAAACCGGTACATTCATACCACAGAACACTACTCAGCAGTAAAAAAAAAAGAACAAGCTCTTGATACGCATAACAGCTTGGGCGAATCTGAGAGAGAAATTATGCTGGGGGATTATGCTGAGAGAGAAATGTTTCTCCGTTCTGGGGATGGCGGAGAGGTAGAATGGGAGACAGAAGAGCGCTTGCCGTTGCCTGGGGTGGAGGAGGCAGCTGTGAGAGGCCGCATGAGGCACCTTTGTGTCACGGGGCTGTTCCGTGTCTTGGTGGTGTTTACACGAATCTACACATGGGACAAAATTGCATAGGACTAAATACACAAGTGAGTGCTGGTAAAATGGGGGAAATCTGAGTACGGTTGATGGATTGTGTCAGCGTCAGTATCTTGGTGTGATATTGAACTGCAGTTTGAAAGGTGCTACCATAGGGGAAACTGGGTAGAGGGTGCACAGGTTCTCTCTGTGTTACTTCTTCTGCCTGCACATGAATCTGCCAGTATCTCAAAATTAGAAGTTTGATTTAAAAAAGTGCTTAAAGTCTTACAATGGATCGGGATTTCCTGAAGTGCATGAAAAGAGATGTTGGCAGAGATGGACTCGTTAACATTGACAGTAGGATAGTTAGCAAGGATGATGATACACGAAGTGCTTCAGAAGAAACATCAAAGGATTAAGAAGAGCCCTTTCGAAAAACTGATGAATTTTATGAAAATGAGCCTCTTTATGTCATGCTGTGAAAGTTAAAATTTTTTTATTTTTTTCTTTATTCTGATAATTAGCTTGTGGTTATAATCATAACCTAAATTTAGTTAACTATAAAATAAACTTCTATTAAGTTTTATTAAGTTTGGTTTTACTTTTCAAGATAAAATCGCAGAGCTAGCTCTTTATTTTGTTATAAATAATGCTAAGAGTTCATAACATCTTTCTAGCTATATCCACACATCCACAATTTTTCCTCAGGATAAGTTCCTAGAAATGGAGTTACTGGATTGAAAATCCAAAGAGGTCTTGCCATTTTACATTCTCATCATCCGTTTTGCTATGCCCTGGTTAGTGCTTGTTATTTTTTTAAAAAAACATTTTTCAGTTTGACAGGCAAAAATGTTATCTTCTATTAATTTGCTTTTCTGAGATTTTTAATGAGGTTGAGTTGTTTAAGTATTTTTATTGTACGTTTTGGCGGTTGTTGTCTGTTACTGAACTGCTAACTCTTCTGCTTCTTTTAGGCAGATCTTGTCTGGACTACCAGACTCAAGAGACCAAATCAAGTCTTTCAAAGACCCTTGAACAAGTCTTGCATGACACTGTTGTCCTCCCTTATTTCATTCAATTCATGGAACTTCGGAGAATGGAGCATTTGGTTAAGTTTTGGTTAGAGGCTGAAAGTTTTCACTCTACAACTTGGTCCCGAATAAGAGCACACAGTCTGAACACGGTGAAGCAGAGCTCACTGGCTGAACCTGTCTCTCCTTCTAAAAAGCACGAAACTACAGCAGCTTTTGTAACCGACTCTCTTGACAAGAGAGTGGAGGATTCTAGCTCAGCCCAGTTGGAAGGAATTGACCTGAATAATAGAACTAGCAACACTCAGAATCACTTGCTGCTTTCCCAGGAATGTGACAGTGCCCATTCTCTCCACCTGGAAATGGCCAGAACAGGAGCTCATCGAGGTTCCGTGGAAACCCAGGAATCCTCCAGACTTATAGTAGCCAGTAGAAATAGTCCCTCTTCTCCACTAAAGGAATTATCAGGAAAATTAATGAAAAGTAAGTGTGTGATTTTTGTCTCCCTTTATCCTGTTTTGTTGTGTATTTTTAAAAAAATTTTTGAATCTGTTTACAAAGTGAAACTTGAGATGGGGAATAAAAGGGTTGGAATAGTTTTCTCCCACACTCACTTGCAGATTTGGGAGTATTTGGGTAGTGCCCTGGAGTAGGGTCAGTGTATGAAAAAGGAACAGAAGGGCTGTCTACAGTGATTGGATCCTCTAAGAAAGACGTTGGCAGAATTAACAAATGAAGAAGGGTCAGGGGTCATGCTGCTTTTTCCCTTCCACAGATTTTGAAATCAGATCCTTACCCAGATAGGCTGATTTCAGCCCTGCCACAGTCTTAGTTTTGTTACTATTTTACTGTAGTTTGCAGATAAAATTATTTTTTAATTGCCAGCAGGTGACATTAATTGAGTTCTGTGCTAGGGGGGTACTTGGATTTCATGGAATAATCACAGCATCCCTGTGAGGTAGGCAGTTACCCCGTTTTACATGTGAGAAAGCCATGGTTTAGGCAGGTGGAGGAGACTTCCGGGGTTACACAGCAGGTGGGAGCTGGGATTAAAGCCCTGGCATCTCAACAACAGCACCTCTTTCTCTTTTCTGTTCGTTTGGAAATTACAGGCTCTTCACTTTTCAATTATCACCTCCTGGAATTCTGATTAGACAGCTTCCAATCCATGCTTGTCCTCTTCTCTTTTATCTTTTCTCAGGGGTCTAGATGATTTCTTTTCTGGATTTTCCTTGTGTGTTTTTTTCTTTTCTCTTTTCTACGAAGACTTTATGAGGGCAGTTTTAAGGTCCACAGCGTAATTGAGGGGAAGGTACAGAAATTTCCTGTACCCTTCTGCCCCCGCACTTGCGTCGCCTCCCCCACTGTGAATATCCCCCACCAGAGTGGAGCACTTGTTGGCCTCAGTGAACCTGCCTGGGCACGTCGTAATTACCCAAAGTCCGTAGTTTACTTTAGGCTTCACTCCTGGTGTTGTATGTTCTCTGGGTTTGGGCAAATGTATAACGACATGTAACTGTCATTATGGTATCATACAGAACATTTTCACTGCCCTAAAAATCCTCTGTGCTCTACCTGTTCATCTCTGTATACCTGCTGATTTGACCCTGGCAACCACTGATCTTTTTCCTGTCTCCACAGTTTTGGCGTTTTCCAGAATGTCATGTAGTTAGAATCATACATAATATAGCCTTTTCAGATTGGTGGTGACTTCTTCAGATCTTTTAGTTCATTGATTCTCTCTTAAAATGGGTCTAACCTGCTATTGAGTCAGTCTTTAACGTGTTATTTTAATCTAAAAGTTAGTGAATTTTTCATTTCTAGAAGTTGTTTCTTCAGGTTTGCCTGGTCGTTTTTTAGTTTCTTAGTCCTTTAGCCCTCCATCCCACTTTTGAGCCTATTTTTTATTTATTTAAATTTATTAAACATATATTCATTATCTGAGAAGCCCAATATCCCAGTTTTTGTGTATTTGAATCAGCATTTATTTGTTTCTTCAGATTCACACTCTTGGTAGCCTGTGATTTTAACGGGTTTTGGCTGTGAATATATGTCTTTGGATTTTTATCTTTGGTAATTCTTTGAGGACTCTGATTAAATTGCGTTATTGCAGAGTGTATTTACATTTGCTTTTTTAAAAACATTTAATTCATTTATTTTTGGCTGCATTGGGTCTTCGCTGCTGCACGCGGGCTTTCTCTAGCTGCGGCGAGCGGGGGCTCCTCTTGCTTGAGGTGCACGGGCTTCTCATTTGCGGTGGCTTCTCTTGTTGCAGAGCATGGGCTCTAAGCACGCGGGCGTCAGTAGTTGTGGCACGTGGGTTCAGTAGTTGTGGCTCGCAGGTTCTAGAGCACAGGCTCAGTAGTTGTGGCATGCGGTCTTAGTTGCTCCGCGGCATGTGGGATCTTCCTGGACCAGGGCTCGAACCCGTGTCCCTGCACTGGCAGGTGGATTCTTAACCACTGCGCCACCAGGGAAGCCCCTGCATTTGCTTTTGCCATACTTCTGGGGCCAGCTTCATTACTATCCCATTATCACTTAAAACTGAATTTTTGTCTTGGGTTTTCCAGGCCCTAAACTCTTAAGGCCTTCTGCCTGGTTTTGGTCTAATCTACCCTGTTTGGGCCCTGGGCAGCTGCCCTTGAAAGTGCAAGCCTCAAGTCTCTTGGAGTTGGTGGTTTTTCTCAGGTGAATGCCCTCTCTCTTGTACTTTTGCCCATCTTGATTTGTACTGACTCCTACAGGTCCACAATTCCTTGTCTGCAGTCCAGAAATCCAGAAAGCTTTGCCTATCACAAGTTGTTTTTTAAATGAACAAAACTTGACCTGAAGGGACGTGAGCTTATTGCAGAGTCATGAATGCGATCGTCTCACATGCTGCTGGGGTATTAAAATTGTATATATAGGGACTTCCCTGGGAGTCCAGTGGTTACAACTTCGGAAGCAGTATTGTAACAAATTCAATAAAGACTTAAAAATTTTCTTTAATGGTATATATAAACACAGTGCGTTACCTCTGTAAAAACCTCAAATTCCGAATGCTAAAATATTAGTGGTCCCAAAGCTTTCATATAAGGAGCCTGCTTGTACTTGTTTCTGTTTCTCACTATTTCCCACAACCTCTGATGTAGTTTTCAAAAGCATTTTGGGAGAATTCAGTATTAGGAAGTGTTTCTTTGAACATCTAGTGAGGCCTGTTTCTGGAAATGAAAGTCCAAAGTCTGTTTCTTTGATTGTAATACACTTTATTGTTTTTGGAAACTGTATTTGTTTTGGTGTTAATTTATTTCAATAGCAGTGGAGTAATTAAAAGAGTACTAGTTTTTCATTTTTTGTTATTTAAAAATTTTGCATGCAGTGAATTTGACACCTTTTGATGTGTACGTGAGGTTTAACACATGCATAGATTCCTGTAACTGTCATCTGTTAACTTTAATAATATAATAGCCAGTCATTTTACCAGCAGAAGCAAGTTTACTTGGAAATAGCCAGAAGAATTGCAGTTTGAGATATGCGAATTGTGGTGGACCATAGGCAAATCCAGAGAAGGGGAGCTTGCTTTTTTTATATGGAAAAGCTGGGGCGCCGGTAGTAACCGGAGACCATCAGAGGAAGCTGGGGGGGTCCAAAGTGTGGAGCCTTCTCATTGGTTGGGCTGCTACAGTGTCTGATTGGCTAGGCTGCCCTGGGGCAGAGAAAAGTTTTCTTCTTCCTGCTGGATGATAGAATAGACAACTCCTTCGTGTTGAGACATAGGTGCTGGTCTCTTCCTGTTTGGGGTAATGAGGATGCCTCGCGGGGTGTGAGAGCTCACCCTATAGGCCTGTCCCCACTCCAACTTTAGCTGAGGTTTCTTTAACTCCACACATCACAATCAAGATGAAGAACAGTTCTGTCGCCCTTGTATTTAAACCCTCTATCTCAGCAATTAACAACCACTGATCTATTTGTCTCTTTTTTTTTGCCTTTTCTGGAGTGCCATATAAGTGAATTTATATAGTATGTAGCCTTTGAGACTGGCTTCTTTCACTTAGCATAATGGCTTTGAAGTTTACCCATGTTGTTTCTGTCATTGCTTTCTATAGCTAAGTTCCGCTGTATGGATGTTCTATCCATCCACCTGTTGAACCACGTTTGGATTGTTTCCAGCTTTTGATTATGAATAAAGCTGCTTTAAACATTTGTGTACAGGTTTTTGTGTGGACAAAAGTTTTTATTTCTCTGGAGAAATGCCTAGTAGTGGATTTATGTGTTAAATGTGTGTCTAATTATATGAGAAACTGCCAGACTGTTTTGTAGAGTGGCTGCACCATTTTGCATTCCCAGCAGCAATATATGAGAGTTCTAGTTGCTTTATTTCCTTGCCAGCGCTTGGTGTAATCAGCTTTTTGTTTATTTGCGGGGTTTCTTAGCCATTCTGATAGATGTGTGGTGGTATCTCATTGTGGTTTTACTTTGCATTTCCCTAATGTCTGAGGATGTTGAATGTTTTTTCATGTGCATATTTGCCATCTGTATCTTCGGTAACTTGTTCCAGTCTTTCCCAATATTTTATTGTTGAATTTTGAGGTTCTTTATATGTTCTGGTTATAAGACCTTTATTGGCTATGTGACTTGCAAATGTTTTCTCCCAGTTTATAGCTTGACTTTTCATTCTCTTAAGAGTATCTTTCAAAGACCAAAAGGACTTTTTTGATTAAGTCCAATTTATCAACTTTTTTCCTTTATGGATTGTGCTTTTGGAGTCATGCATAAGAGCTCTTAGCCTAATCAAAGGTCATGAAGATTTTCTCCTGTGAGATATAAGCTGTGGTGGTTAGGTCAAGTTGTTTTTTTTTTTTTTTTTTTTGCGGCACACAGGCTTCTCACTGTTGTGGCCTCTCCCGTTGCGGAGTACAGGCTCCGGACGCGCAGGCTTAGCAGCCATGGCTCACGGGCCCAGCCACTCCGCGGCATGTGGGATCTTCCCAGGCCGAGGCACGAACCTGTGTCCTCTGCATCGGCAGGCGGACTCTCAACCACTGTGCCACCAGGGAAGCCCTTAGGTCAAGTTTTTTTTTTTTTTTCTTTTCACATATGGATCATTCCATACTTTATTAGTTAAAGACTACTCTTATGCCATTGAATTGCCTTTGTACCGTGGCCATATTTGTGTAGGTCTATTTCTGGACTCTCTGTTCTGTTCCATTGGTGTATATGTCTGTTCCTTTACCTGTACCACACTGTCTTGATTACTATAGCTTTGTAGTGAGTCTTAAGATTGGATAGTTTGAGTCCTCCAAGTTTGTTCTTTTTCAAAATTGTTTTTTCTATTCTAAGTCCCCCCCCCCGCCCCCGATATAAATTTTAGAATAATCTTGTCAATATCTACAAGAAACCGTGCTGGGATTTTTATTGGAGTTGTGTTCAGCCTATAAGTCAGTTTGGGGAGAATTTATGTCTTAACTGTATTGAGCCTTAAAATCCACAGATACGATGTGTGTCTTCATTTACTTGGGTCTTTGATTTCTTTCCTCCACATTGTATAGTTTTCAGCATACAGATCCTTAATGTGTTTTGTTATTTGGTGCTATTGTGAATAGTATGATTAAAAATTTTTTGTTTCTAGTGTTTTTCATTGCTAGTACATAGAAATATCAATATGATTGACTTTTATATGTTGACCTTCTATTCTGTGGCCTTATTACTCACTTGTTATTTCTAGGAGCTTTTGTGTAGATTGCTTGAGTTTCTTGTCTTGTTCGTGATCTTAGAAAGTATTCAGTCTTTCACCATAAAGTGTGAGGTTAGCTGTGGGTTTTTGTAAATACCCTTTATCAGGTTGATGAAGTTCCCTTCTCTTAATAGTTTACTGAGAGTTGTTGCTGTTTGAATCATGAATGGTGTTGAATTTTGTCAAATGTTTTTTCTACGTCATTTGATATGACCATGTGGTTTTCCTTCTCTGGTCTGTTAATATGATGGATTACATTGATTTTTTTTTTTAATATTGAATAAGCTTGCATTCCCAGGGTAAGCCTCATTTGGTTGTGGTGTATTAGTCTTTTTATATGTTGCTGGACTTGATTTTCTAATATTTTGTTGAGCATTTTTGCATCTGTTTAGATGGATATTGGTCTGTAGTCTTCTTATACTGCTTTTGTCTAGTTTTGGCATCAGTGTAATTCTGGCCCCATAAAATGCGGTGTCATTTCGTGGAAAACAGCTGACAGTATTGGTTGCCCAGTGGTAAAATTTAAGTTTACAAGTGAAACTTAGAATTTGGAAAACTTCTATTCACCACCGTGTGCTCTAACAGCTTTATAGAGTGTTCTGATAAGATCATTGTGATATTAATGATGTGATTTTTTTTATACCGTATGATGCAATGCATCAACATTTGTAAGATCTTCATAAGTCAGCAAACCAGTATTTTCTACAATATTTGAAAATATATGATGCTATAAAATCAATCATGAGTAAAAGACTCTTTAAACATGGGAGATAGACCAATAGATATTAATGTAACAGAATACAACAAGTTCATTATATGGTTTCAGATTCCACCTTCTAATTAACCTTTAAGAAACTACCACTTTTCAAGTTTTGGTATAGTATCAAAGAAGAATATATCCACAGTTATCTCAGAAAGCTATTAAAATACTCCTTTTCCCAATTACACATCTCTGAGGCCAGCTATTCTTGATATAAATAAAAGAAAACCATTTCTCTATTCATAACACTTCTGACACCAAATATGTGGGTTTCCCACATTAAGCAATTCTCTAATTCTCTGTGGACAGTAACTGGGTACCCTATAGTTTAATTCATTCTGACACTACCCGGAGTTATTGCAGACCCCCCCAGGTTAAGGGCTCAGTCCAGAAGACTGTCCCCCCACTTCAGATGCCAGTCACAGGTCCCAAGTTGTCACCTGTACTTCTGGCCAACCAGCTATAAATCAGGGGTTCCCACTACCCCTTCCTCTTTCAATAATTTGCGACAACAGCTCAGAGAACTCAGGGAAACACTTTATGTTTATTTGTCTATTATAAAGGATATCGTAAAGGATAGAAATGAACCGCCACGTGAAGGGGTACATAAGTCAAGGTCCAGAAGGGTCCCAAGTGCAGGAGCTTCTGTCTGTGGGGTTGGGGTGCATCACCCTTCCAGGACATGGATACATTTGCCAACCCAGAAGCTCTCTGAACCACTTCATTTAGGGGTTTTATGGTTCTGTCACGTGGGCCCAGTTGAGTAAATCATAGGCTATTGGTGATTAGCTTGATGGTCCCTAACCCCTCCACCTTCCCCAGAGGTTGGGGAGTGGGGCTGAAGTTCCGTGGTTGCTTCTTTGGCAACCAGCCCCACTCTGCAAGAGTCACCTCATTACCATAAACTTTTCCCCTGGTTGAAATCAGAGGCTTATTATAAATAACAAAAGATGCTGCTCTGGCCCCTGCCACTCAGGAAATTGCAAGGGTTTTAGGAGCTCTGTGCCAGGAACCAGGACAAAGACTATACATACATATACACACATGTACACACACATACATACTATATATATATATATACACACATACTACATACACACATACATACTATATATATACACATACATACTATATACACACATACATTATATACACACACACATACATTATATATACACACATACTATATATACACACATATACTATACATATACACACATACACACACATACATACTATATATATACACACATACATACTATATATACACATACACATACTATATATATGCACATACATACTATATATACACACACATACTGTATATATATACACACGTACATACTATATATATACACACACATACTATATATATATGCACACACATACATACCATATATACACACATACGTACTATGTATATACACACATATACTATATGTACACACACATACTATATATATACACACATACACTATATGTACACACACATACTATATATATACACACATACATACTATATATATAC